GAGGTCAGTCTGTATCTGAAGACTCAGAATCTTTAAAGGATGTGGTCCAGGCCCTGCGGACAGAATTAAGAGAACTTCGGCTGGAAGTGTCCCAGATGAAGGTAGAATCTCCCCGGTCTCCGGAAATGACCCCAGCACCCGCGCCACTCCACCCAGGATAACTCAGCTGCGGGGGAACATCAAAAGGGGATCCCTCTGTTGGGCTTGTTGACAGTACGGCCATATGGCCAGAGAGTGCCCAGAACAGATGACGTCCGAGCCGACGTTAAACTTCTGTTTCAGGCATTAGCAGCCGATCGGCGATCTCCGGCACATGCGCAGATACGTCGAGGGGGACAGATCCTCATAGGAGACAGATTTTCATACTACACCGGAACGGCGCGGGAACACGGCGAGAGGAACGCGCGGAGCAAAGGTAAGTGAATTGACACAGGGGGGACTTGGGGACTTAATATGGGGGATGAATTAATATGGGGAATGAATTACTATAGGGGGGATGAATTACTATATGGGGGATGAATTAATATGGGGAATGAATTACTATATGGGGGATGAATTACTATGGGGGATGAATTACTATATGGGGGATGAATTACTATGGGGGATGAATTACTATGGGGGATGAATTACTATGGAGGATGAATTACTATGGGGGATGAATTACTATATGGGGGATGAATTACTATATGGGGGATGAATTACTATGGGGGATGAATTACTATATGGGGGATTAATTACTATGGGGGATGAATTACTATATGGGGGATTAATTACTATGCTTACTATGGGGGAATATTACTATACTTACTATGGATGACACATACACATCATTCATCTACTTTTGGTCCGGCCCCCGGGTCCAATATATGAACCCATTGCGGCCCTCAAGTCAAAAAGTTTGTCCACCCCTGGGCTAGCCCATACCGTACACCCATACACTGATTCTTGCTTTTTAAGAGTAATAACGGGTAAGGTGTGGCAGCTTAGTTGTGCCCGCCAGTAGGTAAATTACTACACTTTCTACCTTCATCCATCAGAAGGTGCCGTGCTGTGCAGCACAAGGGTCTCAGCCTTTGGGCTGGGTGTATGTAAATTTATTGTATGTTCCCAGCATTTGTGGTTGTGTTTATTTGCCACATCTAAGTAAAATTCTGTTGTGGCAAAAGCTGGTGTTGGGGTTGCTTTCCTCGTTCGTGACTTCACTGTATCCTGGGGAGCCCACCCCGGTACACGGCTTACAGCTGCATGGGAGGCATAGCCCAAGGAATACTGGGTTGAGTTTCGAGTGCCTTTCCTAGCAGGGAATCAGATTACTCCGGGGTCTGCTTTGGGCTGGTAAATGCTTCTTAGACACAGCAATCCCAGCTGTAGAAAGAGGCAGGCCAGCACTCAGTGCCGTGAGAGAGCCAATTTGTGTCCAGATCCAGAAAGTGCATGCTGTTGCCCGTGAAAACACTGGTGCAACTAGACAAGCTAACATTTTACAGATGGATGCAAGCGTAATTTAGCATGTCCAGAGTGCCTGTGTGAGAAGGTCTGAAAAGACATGAAGGCAAGGGCATTGCTTCAGTTCAGTGAATGTAGACATGCCTAAAATTAACATAGGCCTTGATCACAAGGTGGCATACAATACAATACGGCCTTGAAGGGCCATGTTTTACTCGGCACAGATATTCTAAGCACCATGTGCAGGCAGTCCCATTGATGGCTATTGGGACACAGCAGGTGCACGGACACAGCCCTTGTGTCTCAGTATGACATCCATGCAGGTGCGTGTCCCCAAACTCACACTGCGTTTGGGGACAGGTACCCACCCACGTGGATGTCATATTAGGGCACGATGGCTGTGTCCATGCAGCTGTGTCCCAATGGACATCAATAGGACCGCCTTTGCAGGAATGCACAGAACAGCTGTGCATCCAAGGGTGGGTAAACACTGCCCTGCATGCTTATATGGCATTGTACACCCCATGTGAATGGGACCATAAGAGAATAATATTATGTAATCAAATTAGAGCATATAAGCAAATATAAAAAGCAAATACTACTGGAGCAAAATGAAGCAAACAACGTGTTTGGTATTCACGTGTACATTACAAGAACATTAATGAATCATTAACATCCTGCTGAATGGCAATAAAGCAAAGAACAAAATTAAATTAAATATACTCATAAATAGGGACTGATTTGTAATAGCGATTTTGAAAAGGTTCCTTCACTGTTTTTGGTGATTTCATGTGTGACTTGCATAGACATCTGTGAATGAAGTTTGCACAGATGTCAACAAGCTGCACATGAAATCGTACTGACCGGCGTCTTTGAAATTGTGCTGAAGTGGTGCAATTTCAAAGCAGCATTGAGTGTGAACCGGGGCTGAAGGTCATATTTTTGCAGCCTGGGCTACTATTTACACATAATTTGCCTTAGATGTATAGGTTTTTGGTCTGACAACCTAGTAATCTTGTATTTTAAGTGCCTGTTTTCACCCATCAGACTGGTACATTACAATAGCACTCTTTTATCAGATGTTTATCTTTATACTCGCCTTGTCTGAGATGTTCTGAGTTAGCTTTTCTCTGAAAATCGAATTCATCTGTGCAATATGTGCTAGATATTCTGTGGTATCATGCTAATGAGAAATTCTTTATTATAGAATCAAGATGTGCATTGTTAGCTCGCAAAATTATTGCGTGCTTTTGGTTTGCTGAAAAGTGTTGTGGAGATAGACATCTTTTCTGCAAATCTTGACTAAAGACATTTTTTTTCATTTTGGATAGAGTAAGGGAGAGTTATAACCCCTGTCAGATATTTTTTGTAATTTGTGTTCCATTGAGATTTTCCTTCACTTCCTGTCCTATAGCCAAGAGAGAGGTTGTCACCAGGGTCATCAGAGCTAGTGTCCCCATTAGTCCTCATGCACACTGGACGTTTTTACAGCTGCTGTTTTTGGCTTTTGGCATTTTTTCTACAGCCAGTAAACTCCACAGTATGTTATCCTATGTATCCATGCACACAGACTGTAATCAGCGTTTTTTGGCACGGGCATTTTTTAGCTGCAAAACGCAGTAAAAATGTGGTAAAATGCAGCAAACTGACGGTTTTGGACTTTTTTTGACCAAAGCAAACCCACTAAAAATTGCTAAAAAAAAACACAAACGCAAAAAAGTGGCAAAACTCCTTCAAAGTCCTTCAAAGCTAATTTTGAAGCTGAAACAGCTTGGCATCAGCATGTATGTTTGTAATTGCATCCTGGACTTCCTTACAAACAGACCACAGTCCCTACGACTGACGCCTTCATCTCTTTCAGTCTTAACATCAGCACTGGGGTTCCAATTAGTTAGGGACAACTGAACTCTGACGTAAGGGGGCACTGGATTTTGATGTTAGGGGGTACTCTGTTGGATTCTGATGTAAGGGGGCACTCCACTGAACTCTGATGTAAGGGACACACTGCTAGATTCTGATGTAAGGGAGCACTCTGTCAGATTCTGATGTAAGAGGGCACTCCACTTGGCTCTAATGTCAGAGGGCACTCTGCTGGAATCTCATGTAAGGGTGCACTCCACTGGATTTTGATGTAAGGAGGCACTCCACTGAACTCTGATGTAAGGGGGAACTTTGCCAAGTTCAGATGTAAGGAGGCACCCTGCCACATTCTGATGTAAGGGGGAACTTCACTGGATTCTGAAGTAAGAGGGCACTCTGCTGGATTCTGAAGTAAGAGGGCACTCCACTGGGTTCTGATGTAAGGGGGCACTCCACTGGATTCTGATGTAAGGGGGCACCCTGCCAGATTTTTGATGTAAGGGGGCACTCTACTGGTTTCTGATGTAAGGGGGCACTCCACTGAACTCTGATGTAAGAGGGCACTCTGCTGGATTCTGATGTAAGGGTGCACTCCGCTGAACTCTGATGTAAGGGAGCACTCTGCCATATTCTGATGTAAGGGGGCACTCTGCTGGGCTCTGATGTAAGGGGGCACTCCTCATAATTCTGATGTTAGGGGGCATTCTGCCAGGGTCTGAATGTAAGGAAGCACTCCACCGGGTTCTGGTGTGAAGGTGGACTCTGCTGTAAGGTGGGACTCTGCTCTAAGGGGGGACTCTGCAGGGGCAGACTGACAACTCATGGGGCCCCTGGGCAATAGGGGATCATGGGGCCCCTGTGTCCCTGCCCAAACTCCAAAAAGCCTATGAAAAAGGTACCAGGGGCATCTCATGGGGCCCCTTACTGACCCCGGGCCCTCGGGCAGTGCCCGAGTTTCCAAATGGTCAGTCTGCCCCTGGATTCTGCAGACTTTGATATAAGGTGGTGGAACTCTGGGAATACTGATGTAAGGTGGGACTTGGGAGATATGGATGTAAGGGAGGACTCTGCTGTATAAGGGAAAAGCCAGGGGACTTTGATGTGAACGTGGCACCCATCCTAGCTGCTGCACTCCATATGTTGTTTTGATTTTTACTTGTTCCTGACCCTCGCACTTGAACATTATGCTGTACATAGACGTGACCAATGTGTTCATTATCTCAACAGTTGCTGATTTTTTTATACAGCTCTTCTTTAAGGTAGGTTCACTTTTTTGTTTCATTCAACCAGCAGAATTAACAAAAAAAAATGAGCCGATAACCTCATCCACATACTCAAGGTGGATGGCAGATTTACTCTCACTAAGGTATTGTGTTCTGACATCAGGGAGAATTCCCTGCTTTCAGAATACACTGATCACTGCTGCTGGCCACAGCAGGTAGCGCTGATCAAGCAGAAATTTTTCTAAAGGATGGTTGTACAGAAGTCAATTGGTACATCAACCTTTGCACAATCAGCCTGCCCATACATGGATCAAAATTAAACTGGTGCCTAAGATAAAAATAGCCTTTTTATGTGAATCTCAATACATGTAAATTAATTGGTTTACGTGAAAGTTATAGCATTTACAAATGGCGGTATATATACAGGGATTTTTTTTTAATTTCTACTAGTAATGGCAACTTATAGCTGGACTGCGGCGGGCATTCTGACACTGGGGGGAACTGACTTGGTGTCACTGACATTGCCAGTGACACCAATACAGTGATCAGTGCTAATAAAAAGCACTGACAATGTACTAAAGGCACTGGGCAGGAAGGGCTTAACATGTGGGGTGATCACAGTTGTATTACTGTGGGCTGTATTAGTGCTTTCAACTGTAAGCACGCTGCTTTAAATGGCTCTGCTATGCAGAGCCATGCAAAGCCGTGTGCAGGAGCTGAAAGGGGAGAGAACTGTATTGTTTACATACAGTTCTCTCCTTCTATTGGTAATGCTCTGCGACCATTGGGTGACAGCGAGTAATCACCAGCTGGGACCCGGTGATTGAAAGCCGAGGCCGCGAATAGCGGCACAGGTAGGGCAAGTGCGCGCCCCCTACCCGGAAATGCAAAATCACATATACACCGCGTTCCAAATTATTATGCAAATTTTATTTAAGTGTCACAAAGATTAAATATTTTGTTTTTCTGTTTAACTCATGGATGGCATTGTGTGTCAGGGCTCTTTTGATCACTGAAAACAATCTCGGACACCTGTGATAATTAGATTGGCCGGTGAGCCCAATTAGATTGGCCGGTGAGCCCAATTTAAGGAAAAGCTACTAAAGGAGGGTGTTCCACATTATTAAGTAGAGCACCATTTTAAGCAATATAGGGAAGAAAAAGGATCTCTCTGCTGCCGAAAAGAGTGAAATAGTTCAATGCCTTGGACGAGGTATGAAAACATTAGATATTTAACGAAAACGTAAGCGTGATCATCGCACTATTAAGAGATGTGTGGCTGATTCAGAGCACAGACGGGTTTGTGCAGATAAAGGCACATTGAGGAAGATTTTTGCCAGATCCATGCATCGGATCAAGAGAGCAGCTGCTAAAATACCATTACATAGCAGCAAACAGATATTTGAAGCTGCTGGTGCCTCTGGAGTCCCACGGACATCAAAGTGTAGAGTCCTTCAGAGTCTTGCAACTGTGCGTAAACCTTCTATTCGGCCACCAATAACCAATGCTCACAAGCAGAAACGGCTGCATTGGGCAAAAAAATACATGAAGACTAATTTTCAAACAGTCCTGTTCACTGATGAGAGCAGTGCAACCCTGGATGGTCCAGATGGATGGAGTAGTGGATGGTTGGTGGATGGCCACCCTGTTCGAACAAGGCTGCGACATCAGCAAGGCAGTGGTGGAGTCATGTTTTGGGCCGGAATCATGGGAACAAAGCTGGTCGGCTCCTTTAGGGTCCCTGAAGGTGTAAAGATGACCTCTGTGAAGTTTATCACTGACCACTTTCTTCCCTGGTACAGAAGGAAGAACTAGGCTTTCCGTAATAAAATCATCTTCATGCATGACAATGTACCATCTCATGCTGCAAAGAATACCTCTGCATCAATGGCTGTTATGGGGATAAAAGGAGAGAAAGTCATGGTGTGGCCTCCATCCTCCCCTGACCTCAATCCTATTGAGAACCTTTGGAGCATCCTCAAGCAAAAGATCTATGAGGGTGGGAGGCAGTTTACATCCAAACAGCAGCTCTGGGAGGCTATTCTGACATCTTGCAAACAAATTCAAGCAGAAACTGTCCAAAAACTCACAAGTTCAATGGATGCAAGACTTGTGAAGCTGCTATCAAAAAAGGGGTCCTATGTTACAATGTAACATGACCTGTTAAAATGTTTAAAAAGTTAAAATGTTGTTAAAAGTTTGATTGAAATAGCTTTTGATTTCAGTAAATATGCTGCAAACACAACAAATGACAATTTTCACTTCTTTACAACCTATAAAGTGTTTTGAAACTTACTGTGCGTAATAATTTGGAACAGTGCATTGTAAGTTTTTTATATTTAACAAAAATACTGTTATCATTAGGAGGTTTGTTCAATAAAATGTGAATTGTACTCTTAATAGTTGATAACATGAGAATTATGCTGACTGTTATTTACATCAATTATTTAGGTAAATGAGTAGCAGTGTATCTCTTATAGGGCAGCGGGAAAGAGGTTAACAGTTTTGGCTTTTGATGGCTTTTCTGATGTGCTATGTGTGTTTTACTAGGGAGACATGCTGCTGTGTATTTCTTTGCTGTGCAGAGATCCCATGATTGTGTGCAGCCCTGCACATCATATACATGATTTTGGGCAGCCCTGCCACCCTGTAGCAGTAGTTCTAGTATAGGGCAGCTGGAAAGCGGTTAATTTATTATTTTGTCCTGTGCTTAGTTTTGTCTGTGAGACTGTCAGTTGTGGCACACCATTTAGTATTTTGTGGGTACAAGGTCTGTGGTATAGATGTGCATTGCATACAGCAGGCGCAAATTCTGTTCAATCCCCTTTAAGACCCCCTACTGGCCAGATGCTGAACTTTTCTGTTCTGTCCCATGGTGCTCCATTTCTTTCATAATCCTAGTCTTGCTCACATTTTGTCATGCTGTCTCGACTTTTTAATAGTAAACCAGGCGAATCACTTGTTCTGAATATTGCTAATACTGTCAATGTTTACACATTGTCTATATAGTTTAAGGGCTATCTTTCCTTTATTTATACATCCTCTGCCTCTGCTGACCCCCCGTACACTTCCATACTGATCCCTGTATGCTTCCTTATTGACCTCTCATCCTTTGCCCACCTGACATTTTTTACTGTATCCCCACATCTGACCAGCTAGATCTGGACAGACAGTCACCTGGGTGCAAAGCAGGGTGTAAAGTAATTACTGTTTATGGCCAGATAGGGAGCTGTAATATTGTTGGGACTGATGAGCTGCTGTTGTGGGGAATTACTTTCTGCTCCTAGAGAGACTGAGCCATTTAGGAACTTAACATGCAGACACCTTGTAGCCTTATTATTTCTGCAGGCTTGACTGGGACTATTCTCAAGTACCAACTGTACAATTAGTCCCCAACGCTAGCTGGCTGAAGAACTAGGAGTAAAGACTGCCCCTGTTTTTAGCTGACTTTTCCAATTTATGTCTTGCTTCCAGTCTAGTGATACAGAATTCTATTCTAAGTGCTTTGGCATAGAGATTATACTGTCTAGCAGACTATTTCTCAACCTACCTTCTGTTTGCTCATTTGTGCTCAAACCACCTTTTGTTCTAACTCATACCAACACATTGAGTTTATTTACCACTAAATGGTCTTGTGTTTATTTCTTCGTATTAATTCACAGCCAAGTTAAAGGTATCTACACTTGTGTTCCTTTAAGTATGCACAGTAACTTTCATTCAACCAGGTGTCAGAGGAGCGGAGGTTGTGTTTGGAATCGACGCATAGAACAGACAACCCAAATTACCAAGCGGCTGCTGCGAGGGTGGCGCTACATGTGGGGGTTTGTCTGGGATTTCTCTGTTCTACAAGCAAGTTGCCAAGATTACAAGCCAGAGACAGTCAACATGGGCCGTGTGGCAGCCACTGAGTAGTGTCAAGAGTAAAACAGCAGAAGGGACCCAAGCATGATAGCTGATATTCTTGGACAGAAGAACAGATCTCTCAAGTATTAACGGCATTAGTTCCTGATTAGAGAGTGTTTATACTGGACTTGAAACCATATCACGGGACTGCTCACTCTCCTACTAGAGTGGAGAAGGGAGATCCCTACCTGCTTCCAATGGGCTAGGCTGCAGCTGACTAACTACGTTGACACCAGCCTGGTTCAGCTGCATGTGCCAGATGTCAACCCAGAAAGTTCAAATAAGACAACTCCAATAGAAGGAGCTGCCCTGCCAGCACCAGTAGCTATGATAGACTCTGAATTAATTGCCACTTTGGGAGGCTTCATGGGAAAGTGCCAGAAGAATAACCCGACATACACTGGTTCTGGGTACTGAAAATTGAGAGCTTTTTTCTGTGCCAGTGCCTATCAGTGAGGAGAGTTTAAAAAAATGGCTGGAGCAAGACATGCAAGCCCTGGATGAATAGAACATTCCAGAGGCCCAGAAAAAAACAGAAGATCACTGAGCACTCAAGGAATTCATTTATGCTCAGAGGTTATAAACAACCTGAAATGCTGCAAACAAGACTGTGCTGCCTATGACTGCTTAAGGATCCTGCAAGATGAGTTTGGGAGAGCAGAAAAGGCCTTTGTACCAGTTTGATCATACCTATCAGAATGAAGGGGAGTACCTGTCCGATTATATGAGACGTCACGACAAGATAATGCATCAGGTGTTGCTAAAGAAAAGTAAAAACCCCAGCTCGGTAGACCAAGTTCCAGCTCTGCAAGACTTAAGGGGAGCTCAGCAGCCTTTAGATTCTATCATGATTCAGTTAAAATTTGAGGAGACAGTTCTGGAGAGCCCAAAAATAGAACCTGTTGCTGAGATCAGAGTAGATGGTGCAGCCAGTAGCAAATCAGATATGCAGCTGTTTAAAGCCCAGATGGTCCAGCTGGATATAAAATGATGACTCTACTGGCAGCCTATCATATCCCATGGGAAGATTATTCCAGGGACCAACTAGTCTTCAAATTCCACAGCTGTTCAGGTCAAGAAACCAGTAAATCAAGGGGTCTGCTTCAACTGCGGAGGAGTGGGACACTACCAATGCAACTGTCCTAGCCCACCAAAGTCTGAAAGCCAGCTCCAGAAACTGACAGGAAACTTCAGAGGGCCCTGGTGAAGAAGCCAGCCAAATGGCCACCTACAACAACTAGCTCCAAATGACATGAGGAAACAACAGTGGAGGTTCAAAGCCTTGCAGAGGGCCCCCTTGCTTTTTGAGCGACAGTCCAATTCACTCTCCCTGACCTCAGGCATACAGCCTTGGAAAGTCAATGCATGCCAGCCTCCTGGAACTCAACAGAGACACCAACAAAAATGGCAGCCAACAAAGAAGGGGGCACAAATACAGACAGCAGGACCTGCTGCTGCAAGAAAAATCACTGACAAGTTAGTAGGACCTTCTCCTATTGTGCCAGTGCAAATAGAAGGCATCTATACAAAGCCCTTTCAGGATTCAAGAGCACAGGTGACCCTGCTATAGACTTTTATGACATACACCTCAAACACCTACCCCTAGAAGTTAGAAGAGGTAGAAATATGGGATCTTGGAACTCAGAATTTCCCACATCATGGTAACCTGTCAATCAAGTTGACCTTCGACTCCTTTGCATTTATTATTTTTTTTTGTTTGTTTACAAACAATTTTATTAGTTTTTATGAAATAGGCTGCAAAGATAATATTACAGCATCAAGTAACATATAAAACAGAAACAAGGCACATCTGTAATATACATTCCAAAAAGGTACAATCATGTAAGGCATAAAAATTAAGTGTATGAGCAAGATAGGTAAGAGGGTAGGCAGAACAATAATGGCACCAACAGAAAAAACACGATCAATTGAATCATAAATATTCATTATTCAGATAGTAAATGTCTGAGTTTTCCAAACCTCCCACTTTCT